CTCGAACCAGCCAATCGGAATGCGGAGTCACCGGGAAATTTAAATTGCGCCGGCCGGCGGCACGAGCCACACGGTCTTTGAGCTGAGCCGAGGTGGTCGCTTTTAGCGCAGCCTTCCCACAGCCGCGGATCCCCGCTTAAGCCTCCTGTGGAAGCCCGGGCCCGCTTCGCAGGTACAGACTCAGCTGGCGGCCCTTCCAGAGCGCTAACGGCTGGCCCGCGGGCAGTGTTCGCCTTGTGGGTGGGGGTAGGGAGGCCCCGGGGCCACGCCGGGCCTGGCTCTGCCTCCCGCGTTGACTAGGCCTCGGGGGCGGTGTTCGTTGACTAGGCGGCTGAGTTTCGCGGGGGCTGCGGGCTTAGGGCGCCGACGCTCTGCAAACGGCAGCGGAGGCTTTAAAGCTTCGAGGCCGGTAGAATCGGAGCCAGCCAGGCCTGAGGGCGAATGTCCCAGGATGGCTTGTGGCGGCCCTGGCCTTACCTCTCCCGTTCTCGTTGCATCTTCCCCGTAGTAGGAGCTGGGGCTGGGGTGGCAGTTGGGAGCGCCGTCTCTAACACCTAGGCGCCGGGGTGGCTTTGGCACCAAGTCGTAGGGGAGCGTAATGAAAGGAAAGATAGAAAATTGTAAGGAGAGCTTTGACTTTTGTCGTCTTCTGAATGACGCACAGCTGATGTCATCTTAATTAATTGCATTCTCTCCAAGTCCCTTGAAATGTAAATTAAATATGCGAGATCCAGCACTGCATTCTTAGTGTTGACCATAGTGTAATGATGAAGAAAATTTTTATTTGATTTTCGAATGTGGAGAGTGCACCCATTTTGGCCACGTAAACACGGTCAAGTAGGGAGACCCTCCTGAGGATCTGCATGTATTGCCTTAGCACGTAATTTTTAGCTGTAAGTTAACTCGGTTCTGGACTCTGGAGTTTAGAGCCGCGGTGGCTGTCAGAAACGGTGGACACATGTGACTAGTCCGAATTGAAATACGCTGTAAGCTTAAAGTACGCAAAATATTTCAAAGATGGAGTATGAAAAAAGAATGTAAAAGATCTCAATTATTTTATATATTGATAAACGTGTTAAAATACTATTTGTATATGTTGGTTAAGTAAAATACACTATTAAAATTAGTTTCACTTGTTTCATTTTGCCTTTTTAAAAATATGGCTGCTAGGAAGTTTAAATTAATATAGCTTGCATTCTATTTCTGATGGACAGCCCTGCTCCAGGAAGTTTCAGTTCTTCAGAGGGAAGCGGGGACAGTTATCCTTTGGCTAAAAGTATTTCGTAGTGCTGAAAACCTGATGATCCCTTCATTTAGTATAGACGTCTGGATTCAGTAGATGCTTGATAATTCTTACTTGGTACTGTTACCGACAAAGGAAAATGATAAAGGAAATACTGTTCTCTTTCTCCATCTTTTAGCTTTCTCCCTTTGTCTCATAACCATGTCCACCAACGAGAATGCACATACACCAGCTGCCCGTCTTAACAGATTCAAGAACAAGGGAAAAGACAGTACAGTGAGTACCTTCTGTTGCTTTCCTGTGGTGTTATTTAAATGGGAAGACATTTGGAAAGGGGTAAAAACGTAGGGATTTTTTTTTTTAAGAAAATGGTCTCACTTAGCAACAGAAACTGATGTGATAGGTGAAACATCGTGTAATCTTTTCTCAAGGAAATGAGGCGTCGCAGAATAGAAGTCAATGTGGAGCTGAGGAAAGCTAAGAAGGATGAGCAGATGCTGAAGAGGAGAAATGTAAGCTCATTTCCTGATGATGCTACTTCTCCACTGCAGGAAAACCGCAACAACCAGGTAAAAAATACATTTTAGTTTATGAGTTACATTAAATCCAGAAAATCAGTAGGGACTTTTCTGAGAAATTCAAGTAAACTTAACATTTCTAGTCTTTTTTTTTTTTTTTT